AAGCAAGGGTGATTAAACCCTGTTAAAAATTAGTTTAAAAGGCCTAAAAGAATAATTAACATATTGAAACATTAAAACTACATAGATTAAAAATTTTAAAACTAAATTGAACCAAACTCTTATTCTACATGCTAAGCGTTGATAACAAATGCATCATGGTTTGCAGAATCCAAAACGACTAAAATTTGGCAGTGTGTGGTCACTCTGAGAGTCTGGAATGGCATGCATTTTCCCCAACGTGAGCTTCCTCGTTCTACCACAGGGATTTTGAGAGAGAACACAACTGTGCCTGGCACACACATACACTCCTTCCAGACTCAGAGAGAAGGTGAGAGTGAAGGATGGGAGCCTCCATTTCTTTTCTGCTCTGCTTGCCAGCTGAAAAATTCCCTTTGTGTGGGAAATTACCAGCTCAGCAGCCGGAGAGAAAGAAGGCCATTAATCCAATGTGGCCCTTGACAGCCTATTTCCTTCCCTCCCAAGTGGCCTTTGGAGGCTGCTAATAACACAATAGCAAAGTTTCATCTATCCACCTGAATGAAATACAAGGCAAGGATTACAGGCAGCTCACTGTTCTCTTGAGGGCCCTACCCAGGGGTGGGATTCTACCAGTTCGCACCTATTCGCTTGAACCGGTTGTTAACATTCTAAGCAGTTGGGAGAACCGGTTGTTAGAATAAATTCCTGGCCTAATCCTGTAAGGAAGGCAGGAAGGAAACATTCTGGTGTTGCTTACAGAAACTGCCTCCCCGTTAACCCTTATTACATTCTTGGCAGGACTAGACTTCCTGTCTCAGGAACTTCTCTGGAGTTTTTTCCCCCTCCTTTGCTGGTACTTTGTTTGTGTGGAGTGACCATTCAAACTTACAGTGGCACTGAAAAAAGTGACTTATGACCATTTTTCACACTTACCACTGTTGCAGCATCCCCAGTCATGAGAGGCCAGGCGAGGAGATGTGTGCCTCGATGTGAGTGATATTGAGTTGGCCACGCCCAGCCAGTCACATGACCACCAAGCCACATCCACCCAGTCACATGACCACCAAGCCACACCCACCAACTAAACCATACCCACAGAACCGGTTGTTAAAAAATTTGAATCCCACCCCTGGCCCTATCTCAAGCCTCAGATGCTAGATAGGTGGGTCAAAAAAATTAACATGGCAGCCTAGATCAGGGGTCTCCAAGCTTGGCAACTTTAAGACTTGTGGACTTCAATTCCCAGAATTCCTCAGCCAGCTTTGCTGTGGATTTCAATTTCCAGCTTTGCGGGCTGAGGAATTCTGGGAGTTGAAGTCCACATGTCTTAAAGTTGCCAAGGTTGGAGACCCCTGGCCTAGACTATGTGATCAAAACCCTGCCTCTTTTGTGCGTGTGTTGTGGATGAGCCACATAGGGGCAGGAGTTCATTTTCAGGGTGGTGTCTGCTATATAGATATTGCTTACACAAACACACATACACACACACTCATGGATATACCACCTGTATGGACTGGGTCTTTCTTTCTTTGATACCCAGAATGGGCTTTCTGAGTGGTTCTTAGAGTACAATGATCTTCTAGAGCAGAGGTGCCCAACCTTGGCAACCTATGCACTTCAACCAGCATGGGCAGCCAGCCAGCACTGGCAATGTTTAAGACTTGTGGACTTCACCTCCCAGAATTCCCCAGCCAGCATGGCAGACTGGGGAATTCTGGGAGTTGAAGTCCACGTGTCTTAAAGTTGCCAACTTTTGGACTCTCTTGTTCTAGAGCAGAGGTCTCATTCTCGCGGCCCACGGGCCGATTGCAGCCCGCAGGACGATATCCTGTGGCCCCCACCGTGATATGAAAGTATAATATTAGTGTGTTCTCCATGCGTCGCTAGCTGGCTAAACACTTCTATGTGCGGCCCAGCCTCACCCAGACTCTGCCTCCAGCGGCCCCCAGGTAAATTGTGTTTGAGACCCCTGTTCTAGAGCAATCACCCCCAACCTGGTGCCTTCTCAATATGTTGTTGTTATTATGTGCCATCAAGTTGTTTTTTGATTCTTAACAATTACATCTTTCCTGGGGAACCCAGTGAACTAACTGAGAAACCTAGGAAGTGATTTACAGGTATTTATTTATTTATTTATTTAGTCAACGGTTATAAGATAATAAGTATAAGTATAAACATAGTTATGAATACATGAAGTGGATACATATAAGAAAAATAAAAAGAAACAATAGGACAGGGACGGTAGGCACGTTGGTGCGCTTATGCACGCCCCCTACAGACCTCTTAGGAAAGGGGTGAGGTCAATAGTAGACAGTCTAAGGTTAAAGTTTTTGGGGTTTGGGGAAGAAACCACAGAGTCGGGTAGAGTATTCCAGACATTGACCACTCGGTTGCTGAAGTCGTATTTCCTGTAATTAAGTTTGGTGCGGTTTACCTTGAGTTTGTATCTATTGTTTGCTCTTGTGTGGTTATGGTTGAAGCTGAAGTATTCATTGACAGGTAGGACATTGCAATGTATGATTTTATGTACTATTCTTAGATATAGCCCTCATTTACCAAAAGCGTTAAACCCTATTCTCTATATGGACTCCTCCGTCAGCACAAATTGGAGGAAAGTATTCCTCAGGTTGGATACTGTCAAGAACAGCAGGCGTCCTAAGTCCTGTCTGACGATTGCCAACTCGTAAAACATTCCTATGCCTGTTTTTGAGTTGCCATAAACAGGGGGGGGGGGAATCTAAAAGAGCAGTAGGGCAGTTTAAAACCAGAAGTACATTCCACACTTATCTTACAAAGATCGTAGCTAGGCTACCGGATCTTCTGCCCGAGAAAATCCTTCATTGGAGAACGTGATTGATGACACCCAGCCCGTGAATGTGCTTCATTGGAGAATCTGATTTATGATATGCCCAGGGGGGAGGGGGGAAACAGGGTCATAGGTGACTGTAAATTACTTATGCCAGAGTTGGCTTCATTTAGGTTAATGCAGACATGTTGTTCCTAATAAATCTTTTGAATTCTTTTGAAACTTGGCTCGAGGCTCATGATTTAATTAGGGTAATTGCCGGAACCCTGACAACGATATCGATGGAGAAGTCTACTGTTACATGGCTGGCTTGGAAGACCATGTAGATTGGGAAATGATGACCAGAGACAGGCAATCCCACAAATCCAACCCCATATAGAAATGGACGGACTAGAGTGAAGGGGAGAGGAACCGTCCATTGCCTCCTTCCGAGGGCTGAGAAAGAGGGACTGGCTCAATCCCCTTCCCAAGGCAGGACTAGAAATCAGAATCACCTAATTTCTAGCTTAGTATCTTAACCACTTCACCAAACTGGCTCTTTTTGTAAGATCTTTTTGTAGTCCATGAGTCATGAGCACAACTGGCAACAAAATTTTCATTGCTAAGCAAGGGGATTAGTTAAGTCAGTTGTTGTTGATTTTATGACTTTTTATGCCACAGTTGTTAAGCGAACCACTTCAGTTATTAAGTGAATCCTGCGGACATTAAATAAATCCAGCTATCCCCCATTGACTTTGCTTGTCGGAAGCCGATGAGAAAGGTCGCAAGTAGTGATCACATGGCCCTGGGATACTGCGATCATCATAGATATATGCATATAACCAAGTGCCCAAAATTTGATCACATGACCTTAGCAATATTGCAACGGACATCAGTGCAAAAACCGGTCATAACAAGACCCTTCTTTCAGTGCTGTTGTAATTTCGAAGGATCACTAAACGGATGGTTATAAGTTAAGGACTACCTGTGACCTCTCTAGCACTCACGCAGGGTGAGAGTCATTAGTTCTTTTCATCCTACTCCGGTTTCACTTACCATAAAATGCCGTAAGTGATCAGGCTGCTTCCCGGCGTGATAATATCTTCCAACAGCTCTTCCGTCTGTCAGTTGCAAATTGGCACGCTCATTAAAAAGAAGATAAAGCTGACCTTTTCGTTGTGCCCCATTAGATGCTTTTTCCTCCCTCCAGACACAGAAGGCTGCGATCACACGTGGCGTAAGTTCCAGGGTCACTGCTACCGCTACTTTGCCCATCGGCGCGCCTGGGAAGACGCGGAGAGGGATTGCCGACGTCGGTCAGGACACCTCACCAGCATTCATTCCTGGGAAGAACATAATTTCATTAGCAGTAAGTAGGAACCAAGGGTGGGCTTCAAAAACGTTAGCAAAGGGCTCTCTGCCCGGTTGCTGGGTGGGCGTGGCCATAGTGGGGCGTGGCCTAGTCGGCCTCCTGCACCACAGAGGGTGGGTGGGGGCGTTTTTGCCCTCCCCGGGCTCCGGAGCCTTCCCTCAAGGCTCCGGGTGGGCAAAAACAGTCTCTCCGGGCTCCAGAGGCTTTCTGGAAGCCAGAAACAGGCCCGTTTCCGGCCTTCCCAAACTTCCGGAAGGCCTGTTTTTTGCCCTCCCCGAGCCTCCACACGCACCCTGCATCCAAAACGGGCCATGTGGGGACTCCTGGGAGGGGTGGGGTGGATAGGGTGGAGCCAGCCAGGAGTGGGATTTGGCGGTTAGCCGAACTGCACAACTAGGGGCCCTTCCAAACCCCTGTGAACCCCCAGCAGCCCACGCCTGGTTGGAACTGTGGGAGAAGAAGGGAAGAAAGGAGCCACAGAAAGAGAGAGGATGCCCCCTCTGAGCAAGTTTACTAGTTTACGGCTAGCTGCAGTTTCATGTGAATTGAACACTGGGAAGCAATGTGTGGATTGATCATCCCATTTCGCCAGGGGTGGGATTCAATTTTTTTTAACAACCGTTTCTGTGGGCGTGGCTCAGTTGGTGGGCGTGGCCAACTCAATATCACTCACATCGAGGCACGCATCTCCTCGCCTGGCCTCTCATGACTGTGGGGATGCTGCAACAGTCATAAGTGTGAAAAACGGTCATAAGTCACTTTTTTTAGTGCCATTGTAACTTTGAATGGTCACTCCACACAAGCAAAGTACCAACAAAGGAGGAAAAAAAAATTCCAGAGACGTTCCTGAGACAGGAAGTCTAGTCCTGCCAAGAATGTAATCAGGGTTAACGGAGAGGCAGTTTCTGTAAGCAACACCAGAATGTTTCCTTCCTGCCTTCCTTACAGGATTAGGCCAGTAATTTCTTCTAACAACCGGTTCTCCGAACTGCTTAGAATGTTAACATCTGGTTCTAGCGAATAGGTGCGAACTAGTAGAATCCCACCCCTGCATTTCGCCAACAAACAGAAAGAAAGGACCCTCATTTTAGAGGAATAGAAAAAAATGCACCCCCAAAAAATAATTTGTCTTATTCTTCCTTTGGAAGTGGTCTCTCCGCCCTGTGTCCCAGGGTCTTTCCCACATGCTACAACCACACCTTAGAGGGGAGGGAGGGAAGTTTTTGTAGAGCAGTACTGAGTAGTGAGGGATATGGTGGCTCAGTGGCTAAGACACTGAGCTTGTCGATCAAAAAGGTCGGCATTTCGGCGGTTCGAATCCCTAGCACCACGTAACGGAGTGAGCTCCCATTACTTGTCCCAGCTTCTGCCAACCTAGCAGTTCGAAATGCAAGTAGAAAAATAGGGACCACTTTGGTGGGAAGGGAACAGCGTTCTGTGCACCTTCAGCGTTTAGTCATGCTGCCCACATGACCACGGAGATGTCTTCGGACAGCGCTGGGTCTTCGGCTTTGTAATGGAGATGAGTAGCGCCCCCTAGAGCCGGAAACAATTAGCACGTATGTGTGAGGGGAACCTTTACCTTTACTTTACTGAGTAGTGATGCCAATCACCTCCAGATGGCAGCAAAGAGTTAGGAGGTTCTGTATCTATTTGCTGCCATCTACTACTTGTTTTGTTTTAGCAATCCTGATATGCAGTCCTTGCAATTGTGCAGGTTGTACACACAAGGACACACACACACACACAGACACACAAACACATGCACACCATCTCACAAGGCCATTTCCTTTCAAAATCCCATCCAATCCACCACACCCCATTTGGAATATTGGAGCGGCCTATAGACAGCTGCTGATCAATGAAGGAAATCAACAATCCAGGAAGAACTCAAGCTTGTGAGACATGCATTTTTCTTACTCCCAAGTTCTTCTCCCCCTCAGGTTTTGGCCACGAGAACACTTGGATCGGCCTCAACGATCGCATCGTGGAACAGGATTTCCAGTGGACGGACAACACCGGATTGGTGAGTCTATGGAAGAGGAGATTCGGTCTGGGTCAGTGCACCTTTTTTTGAGTGCCAAAAGTCTCTGGGTTGTGTCTTGGCAATTCAAGCAGCCAAGACTGGAGCTCCCAAATAGGAGATGACCAGGCTGAGTCCGATCAAACACATCATGAGTTTGGAATCTATATACTCCTGTAAGAAACCTAAATCCAGACCCCCCCTTGAAGTCTGTTGACTTTGTCAGGGATGACTTGACAGCAGTCTTCCAAAATCTAAGGGGCTGCCACAAAGAAGAGAGGTTCAACATATTCTCCAAAGCAGTGGTCGCCAACAGCTGGGCTGAGGACCACTGGTAGTCCGCGAGAAAATTTTGATGGTCCGCAGAGAAATGTCACCCCCAAAGCAATTAATCCAGGCTGGGCGGAAACACAAGGCTGCGCCGCCCACATGGCCTGTGGGAACACAAGGCTTGCGTTGCTTGCTTTGCGAACAACGTGAGATAGTGAGGGGAGGGGGGGAAAGGGCAGAGGGGGGGAACTTGCCCCACTCACCCCATGCACCTGGCCTGGCCACCGGGCTGCTTCTTTCCACTTATTTCTTCTTCTACTTTTGGCTGCACGCAAGGAAAGCAGCAAAAGTCTTTCTTTCTCTTCCCCAAACTCCACCAGAAATGAGTGTTTGGGACCCTGCAAGGCATCCTGCTCCAAGAGGCTGCACTGGCAAAGACTCATTTCTGGCAGAGTTTGGGGGAGAGAAAGAAAGACTTCTGCTGCTTCTGCTGTTTTCCTTGCATGAAGCCAAAAGTCTCTCTCTCTCTCTCTCTCTCTCTCTCTCTCTCACACACACACACACACCCTCTCCCTCTCTCCCTGAGAACGGAGCTGAAAAGCAGGTTAGGAATGTGGCTGCATTGGAGGAGGTGTGGGGGGGGTATGAGGGACTTCTGTGTGTGTGTGTGTGTGTTTGTGTGTGTGAGAGAGAGAGAGACAGAGAGAGAGAGAGAGAGAGAGAGACAGAGACAGAGCTGAAAAGCAGGTTAGGAATGTGGCTGCCTTGGAGGGGTAAGAGGGACGTGTGTGTGTGTGTGTGTGTGTGTGTGTGTGTGTGAGAGAGAGAGAGAGAGAGATCCAATCTAACCTCGGAGGGCTGGCGGTGATGTTCTCTCTCTCTCTCTCCCTCCCTCTTTCTCTCTCTCTTTAATAATAATAAAAACAATTAAAATAAACTTTTATTTAAAAAAGAAGATACTTGTTTGCCACTTGCCTGAAATGACATAGGATAACCTGCTTCAGCAGGGGGTTGGACTGGAAGACCTCCAAGGTCCCTTCCAACTTGGTTATTCTGCAACGACTCTTATCTGTTCAGATTCTTGTGCATGGGTGGAATACACTCCTAGTATTTTTCAATCTTATCCCAAAGAATTCCTTTGAACCCTATTTCAAAGGTGTGTGTGTGTGTGTGTGTGTGTGTGTGTGTGTGCGTGGCCGGGGGGGGTATTATGTTTATTCTTTGCATATTTGCATATTTTTATTGATTGTAAGCTGCCTAGGGTCACTGAAAGTGAGTGGGCGGCCATATAAATTTTATAAATCAATACATCAATATAATGTGTGCGCCTGGCATCTGTTGCAACAGGCAACAGATCACACCAAGCTAGACTCCCTCCCTTTCAGACAACTGTTCCTAGATTTGAGCTTTAAAAAGGGCCATGAAAAAGCTCTACCTGAATCAATAGCAAGCTGTAATCAATGGACAGAATACTGGAATGCATGGCAAAAATTGATTTTCCACTCTCAACCACTCTGGGTGGCTTGCAACAATCAAAGATATTACAATAAAATCATTACAAATAAAAGATGGGAACTACAACTGCCTGTTTTTATGTGAGTTGTATATTTTATGTGCAACACACATTAAAAAACCTGGCAAAGCTTCGATCCTACTCTTTGGGTTGCCACCTTAACTTTTTTGCTAAAACCCCTTAGAAACCACTTATGTGGTAGAAATGAAACAAGACATTTTCTCACTTAGAATAGTGGTGTCCGGGGAGGTACACAACCCAAGCAGCAAATTATAAAAGCAGCATTGTGCTGATGCAATACAAGCACCATTTTGTGGCATGCATGAACTAGAAATCAGGGACGTCCAAACTTGGCCACTTTAAGACTTGTGGACTTCAACTCCCATGCTGGCTAGGGAATTCTGGGAGTTGAAGTCCAAAGTTTTAAAGTGGCCAAGATTGGACAATTGGCTGGGGAATTCTGGGAGTTGAAATCCATGAGTCTTAAAATGGTCAAGATTGGACATCCCTGATCCAGAATAAAAAAAATTAAAAGGAAGAGGCAACGAAGGTGCAATCTTGGGAACTATTTTTTTTAAATTTCCGTGTCATTCTTTGTTGTTTGCTAGCAATACGAGAATTGGCGTGAAAACCAGCCAGATAATTTCTTTGCCGGTGGCGAGGATTGTGTGGTGTTGGTGTCCCACGAGACTGGCAAATGGAACGATGTGCCGTGTAACTACAAACTTCCATACGTCTGCAAAAAAGATACAGGTAAATACCGCAAGTCTGCAAAAAAAGGCACAGATATGCATTCACTATGGGTTTTTCTTTTAATTCTTTCCTCAGGACGAACTTGAAGAAACCCCATTGGCTATTGCTCACAGGATCATGTATTTTTTGGCAGCCCATCATTTCTTGTTCCCCTCTTTAAACAGGTAGTCCTCAATTTATGACCGGTCACTTAAAGACCTTTCTGACAGACCACCCAAGAGGTTCTTGTGAACGGTCCTGTTAGCTGTGTTCCCCCTCCCTGGGGTCACATGACCACATTTTGGGTATACAGTGACCAACCCGCATTTACTGTTCCCAGTGTCCCAGGCTTACATGACTGCAATTTACAAAGGTTTTGCCCCGAAACAGCATTTACTTCTGCAAAAGCAAAAATAGCTCACAGTGAACAACGGGTTCACTTAATGATTGTAGTCTTTGTTTAACAACTGTCACTAAAAAGGTCATAAAAACAGGTCCTGTCATGTGGTGACCTACTTTACTATTGTCACAGCTTATAATCTTAGTTGGGAAGCTCCATGATGGTTGTACGTTGAGGGCTACCTGTATCAAAACGACTCAAGGTGGAGCAATCTTGAGTTTCTTTTTCACAACTTCCTGTTTTCCTGGGCTGTTTCATATATTATCACCTATTCTCTTCAGTTTCACCTCCATGTTCTCTGACCCTATCCTACATTGCAATCAGCTATTGGGTGAAAAAGAACCCTGGATCCAAGTAGAGGAAGTTTTAAAGTTATGACCATAACAGAGCCTGCCCATTGTGCTCATAACTCACAATGGTCGTAAACAGTGGTGGGATTCAAAAAAAAATTTACTACCGGTTTGTGGGCATGGCATGGCTTGGTGGGCGTGGCTTGGTGGGCGTGGCAGGGGAAGGATACCGCAAAATCCCCATTCCTTCCCCACCCCACTAACCTGCTTTCCAGATCTGTTCTCCTGTGCAGGGCAACCAAAGAAGACCCAGCCAATCAGCTGGGACTCAGAAGGCAGAGAATAAATGGGGGCGGGGCCAGTTAGAGGTGGCATTTGCCAGTTCTCCGAACTACTCAAAATTTCCACTACTGGTTCTCCAGAATTGCTGAATACCACCTCTGGTCGTAAATCAGGTCTCCCCTGTGACCAACATGATTAAACATGATTTCTTTACAGCAATGATTAAACAAATCCACGGTTATTAAGTGAATGCTACAGCCGTTAAGCGAACCAAATGGTTTACTATGGGGGTGCATGCGGCTTTGCAGAAAAACCTGGAAGCCAATGCTGGTTTTCAGCGAAACCATCCTAAAGCACTGTCACATGATGGCAGGATGCTGCAAATGTCCATAAATGCAGGCCAGTTGCTGACTAACCGAAGTGACCACATGATTGGGGTGTGTGTTTGAAACTGTCAGAACTTTGAATCCAAATTGTTAAATAATCCCCCAAGGAGCTCCATTGTAACTTCAAACTCACAGGTTGTAAGTCAAAAGGCCGAATTCGACCGGTTGTAAATCGAGGACTATCCATATTAGAAGCAAATGCTGTCAGTCTCTGAGCTTGCCTACCTTGCCTTCTAATTTCTATTCAACCTGTCCTTGTGGAAAGGGGTGTGTGTGTTGAAACGAGTA